TACCATTTGATCCAGCAATACCACTCTTGGGGATATACCCAAAAGACTGACACAGGTTACTCCAGAGGCACTGCACACCATGTTTATTGCGCACTATTCACAATAGCCAAGTTATGGAAACAGCCAAGATGCCCCAGCACTGACGAATGGATTAAGAAATGTGGTATCTATACACATGGAATTTTATGCAGCCATGAAGAAGAACGAAATGTTATCATTTGCTGGTAAATGGATGGAATTGGAGAACATCATTCTGAGTGAGGTTAGCCTGGCCAAAAGACCAAAAATCGTGGTTCTCTCATATGTGGACATTAGAGTCAAGGGCAAACACAACAATGGGATTGGACTTGAGCACATGATAAAAGCAAGAGCACACAAGGGAGGGGTGAGGATAGGTAAGACACAAAAAAATTAGCTAGCATTTGTTTGCCCTTAATGCAGAGAAACTAAAGCAGATACCTTAAAAACAAGGCCAATAGGAGAAAGGGACCAGGAACTAGAGAAAGGTTAGATTCAAAAAGAATTAACCTAGAAGGTAACACACACGCACAGGAAATCAATGTGAGTCAATGCCTGTATAGCTATCCTTATCTCAACCAGCAAAACCCTTGTTCCTTTCCTATTATTGCTTATACTCTCTCTACAACAAAATTAGAATAAGGCAAAAGTTTCTGCTGGGTATTGGGGGGGGAGGGAGGGGGCGGATGTGTGGTAAAGGGAGGGGGTGGGGGCAGGGGGGAAAAGACCAAGCCTTGTATGCACATATGAATAATAAAAAAAAAAAAAAATAAAATTTATTCTCCAAAAAAAAAAAAAAAGGCACAAATGCAGATGGACTGTGGATCAGTGATAATGTGGGAATGGTAAGAAGTGGTAAGCTGTTCCAAAATATTGAAATTCTTGAATAATTTCGATCAAAATATTTGAAATTCTCTGGGTCGCAAAGCAAGTAGAATTGTCAGAGAAAGTTAGAATCCAAGATTTTTGGCACAACAAGGCGAAGCTTGGTAGTTTCCATATGAGAGATGAGGAAAAATATATGAAGGAGGAGACTGTGTAAGAAGAATAGGAGTCTCTACATACATTTGAGATAGCTTTTGAGTATCAGGTGGAAATGAGTAGTGTATTCCACTTTCAAGTTCAAGGGGAGATGCTCTGAGATAACTACAATACTGGAGGCCATAGACTGAATGGAGATCAACGCATAAGAGTGGGAATGATACAGGAGGAGAGAAAATGAGAGGGTAACAGAGAGTTGAATCCTTAAGTGCTGGACAGTTAGAGGCAAGGGGATCATGGAAGTGAAGTGAGATAAGAGGAGGCACCCAGGGGTGTAGCTCTCATAGCCTCATTAGGAAAGAGTTTACAAGAGGAGGAAGTGTTCACAGCACGGTCACTGAGAGGTCAATAAGAGGACTTATGATAACTGCCCACTGAATTTTGCAATCTAGAAATCATCACTGGGCCAGCAGAATGGCTCACACGGTAGAGCACTTGCTTAGCAAATATAAGGTTCTGAGTTCAAACCACAGAACTACCAAAAAAAAAAAAGACTTCTGTTAGAAATCATTACTGAACTTGTCAAGAGCACCATCACAAAGACATTGCTGCCTTTAGGTTTTGACACCCCAGCGCTAACCATAAAAAAAAGAGCAGGTTTAGATGTCATCAAATGGTCCAGTTGAAATTTGGGTGAAGGTAAGGCATATCTTACTTTAGCAGAAACTTGGTGTGGTAGCCATCTGTGTGTGAAAACCTCTTGCATGAAAGGCTGTATTTTCAGAACTCTGGCTTGATTTCATATAGGAACACTGCATTTTAAATCTGCATTTGGAGAACACCAGCTCCAGGCAACTACAGGTAGCTTTCAAAGTCTACTATTAGATAAAATAACTTCTTTGAAGAGGTTAACATCTCCGAAGACACTGTGGTACTTTTATATGGGATAAAATGCTTAATAAAGGTCTTGAAGTCCTTGAGGTTTGAGGAGATACACACAAATCACTCAGCCTCAGGGGGCGGGCTCCTTTCTGGTCATTCTAGGATGACCACAGCATCACTTTATAGATCTAGATTAAAAGCTGGACTGCAGAGTTGGGTTTCTTTCTTACAAGTTTGACTCCGCTGGGATCCTATTCTTTAAAAATCACAGGCAGGTGGTCTGAATGTGTGTTGTGCTACACAATTTTAGAAACACCCGAAGCCATGTATGCCTTGGCTGTGGACATGGAAAGTTTGATTCTCACGTATGTAGTTCATATGTCCTAAAGATGGATGACCTGTACAGAAGAAAAGCAATTTGAAAAGCTTTAATGACTGATAGACTACAAGATGAAATTTCATGAGAATAAATAAAAGGCACTTCAATCTAAATGTGCTTCATATATTTAGGGTAAGACAAACAGAACTCTGTGGCACTGAGTGACAATGACTCAAAGAGACACAACTCTGTAATAGGACTGCCAGAATGTTAATGTAGTGGTAGGCTGTGAAACAGAAGCACATTATCTAGAAAAAGGGACGTGTTGGTCTATGTATTTGGCACGTTAAGTCAAGTTTTGGAGGAAGCAGAAGCAATTTTTACAAAGCAAGCAAGCAGTTGATGAAATATCTGAAGACTTTGTTATATGGAAACATTAGAAGAAACAGAATATGTAGGGTGATAGAAGGTTGGATAGTTCAAGATAATTTACTTCAAATATTTAAGAGTTCTCAGGAAGACATGATGTTAATATTTACATGAAGCATACCTTCAAGAATGAAAGATTTGGACAAATCCTATATTGTGTAAGAATAGCACTTCTGTGGAATTTTGGGCAAGATGGAATGTGTTAGCTTTCACTCAATTCTTCAGGGTGTTTAAGCAGAGGTTTGGGTCATTGTATTTGCAGGTATGTGTCACAATGAAGGGCACAGAAAGATTAGTCAGCAGAATTGAATAATCTCTTTCTATATTCCCAAGAAATTTGAATTCTAAGAGGATAAAATTCTCAAAGTTTAGGTGTACAAATGAAGACAAAACATGCAAACTGCTTTTATAAATCAAATGTTCTCTAGGATAGGTGCAGTATTCATTCTAAACAACACCTTGGAAGCTCCATGTTCTTACACACAACACAAGACATACTGAGATAACCTTACAGACAATTCTGTGGGGTTAACTTTAGGGAAATCCTTCTCAGAACACTCCTCGAGAGCTTTAGATGATTTTTTTAAAAGATCATCTTTGAAGTATTGGCAGTCCTTATATCTTTTGTGTTTAGTTGGCCCACTAAATCCTTTATCATTATGCTTGTTCTTTCAGTGTGTACCATGTTTGGGAAACACTGTGCCAAAATCATGATTTGGGTGGGGTTTGCCTTTGTGCTAGTTAGTTCTCTCTCCTCTCTCTGGAATATATATGTACAATGTCAGAAAGACTCCAAGTTCTCATTACTGTACTTTAGTATCTTTTGTAAAGGGAATAAACTGTCCAGAAAACATTCCTCATAGATAACACCAATGCAGAATATTTTAATTTTATGACTAAGAGGAGATATGAAAAATAAAATTTTCCTTAAACCTAGTCCAATAATTTTTAGAAAGAAAAAACTTTACAGAACTCCCTCTCTATAATCTCCTAATGTCAGACATTTTCACATGAGTTAAATGACTTCAAAAAGAGTGAGGTGTAGGGAAACTGGAGAGGGAGGTAAAGGATGTGTGACCAGTTCAGGATCTTGGTTAAAAACATTCACGATTTTCCAAGTTGGGAAAAATAGACTAAAGAAAGCCAGAGCCCACTGTACTGGCATCTCTTGAATCTATTTACTAGGACAGTAAGCTTCCCCATGGTCAGTATTAGCCTTGTGGGTCACTGCATCTGGAAGCCAGTCAAAATGAGCCAGCATCTGTTTGTTATTTTGTATATGTAGTAAAAATATTGCCTCAGGTCAATTAAATTTTTCTTCAAAAGTGAACTGTTGCCTCAGCATAATTTCCCCTTTTCTCCCTTAAAAATAACCACACAACAACTTGCCATTCCATTTAAAATATTACATAGAGCAGTGGACGCCATTCCTCATTGTCAAACAGGCCCATGATTTGTAATGAATATTGTGGTCAGGGGAAACCTGTGAATAGTTTCTAATAATTCTTAACTATTTGAACATGGGGTAGGGTATGGGCAAAGACTGGTTTTAATTTTACTTCATATAAAGCAGAGAAGACAATTTACCAGATGTTGTCCTACTTTAAGTTACCCGAAAATGTAGGAGTAAATTACAGCTGAACTTCAAAGCAGTCTGTTACAATTACCTCTCAGACTTTTCCAATGCGTGATAGTAATAATGAAAAGAAACAGATATGTATTGATCACCATCAACAGCAATGTTTGAAATGATGTTAGAAGTAAAGGATTTTGAAATACATTTCAAACAATGATTTGCCAGAGAAATCAGATCAATTTGTTTATGGCATCCACCAAGTTGTACTGTTGTTACTTTTTGTTTGCCTTCTTCTTCCTTCTTAACACAACTCTCTGCTTTCACCAATGCAGTCTTTAAAAGCACATCTTTGAATAAAATTGGGGATTGTCAACATGCTAAGGGCAACCATGATTTCTGAGCAAGTATGAATTACATAGAAAGGAGAGCAAAGAAGTGGCCATTACTGATAATCTACACTAAGCACAAGATATTGTGCTAACATGTGGTATTGTCTAGTTTTGTGTACAAATTTTCTTTGTTCCAAAAGATTTTTTTTCTTTCAGATAAGATTTATAATAAATTTCTGATATGCCACAAATGGTAAAATTCTAAGAGCATTTTATCAACACCACATTGAAAACCCATTTGGACAGGAGCTATCTGCCTATCTTTTTATCCTGGGGGAAAGTTAAATGCCCTAGGAACCCATTGAAATTTAACACACATCACTGCCCTCTTGTGTTTTGTTTTTGTTTTTGTTTTTTCTCATTAGAAAGGAAAACAGCAGTGAGAATCCTGAGGGGTCATTATGTTTTATAATAGGAAGTAGCAGGCTGGCTCTTTGCTGTTGCTCTGTTCTGAGACAGAGCACTCCTGGTTGCCTAGCCTCCTCTCACCTCTCAGACAGTTGGGGCCTTTATAGGGCCTGTAGCAGTCACACTGGTAACTAAACCACAAGTTGACACAGTGTCCTCTATTTTGACAGGGTTGACTGTCACACCAATCCTTTCTCGTGCAGCCTGTCTTGACATTTAATGACAAATCCGATGAAATGTTCTCCAGGGTAATGTGATTCAAATCAAATGCAATGTCTTGGAGACAGCCTACAAATGAAGGTGTGGATGGTATATTATAGATGTTAAACAGAACAACACCATTGCTGGCCGTTCTCACTGGTAAACCGCCCAAAAAAGAGTTCGGAAAAGCACATGTTGATTGATGACTTTTAAATGGAGAAGCCTTAGTGATGCATTTCTCCTTACAAGAATCATCAATTAAGGAAAGGGTCACAGCCTCTGCAAATGTCACCTCCACTGAATGCCACTCTCCATCACTGGTGTTGTGGGGAACGTGCAGAAGCACCTTTGACTGATTCTGGACTTGAATTGATAAGTGAACATAGCCACCTAGTAACTCCAGTTTCACAGACATGTCCCTGTGGCCTTGGAACAGTAGAAGTGTGTTTGATTGAACAGTCAGAAACCTAAAGGAGATGCTACAGTCTGAGCTCTTGGTTGTATGTGAGCCACTTGTGACCCATAAGAAACCATTGCCCTCAAATGAAAGTGTGGTGACAATTTCACACAGTGTCCCAGTAAAGCCAGGTGGACATAGGCAGGTGAACCCATGCTGGCCATTTTGGAAGTGAGGGATGCATTTTCCATTATTTAGACATTGGTGATGAGTGCAGCCCAGGAGAATCTCTGAACAGTCTTCCCCTCCATAAAATGTTGTAGAAGCCTCATCAAATGGGCAATGGCAAGTATAATTTCCAGGCAAGTTCTCACAAGTCCCACCATTTTGGCAAGGATTTGATGAACATTCATTAATGTCTTCTTCACAGTGGATTCCTGTTATATAATAAGCAATAGGTTAAAATTACATAAATTCAAAGCAGATATGGAAATTTTACATTATTTTCACATATAATCTTCCATGATTACAGTACTACCACTGTATATCCGAAATGGATAAAATGTAATTCATGAAGAAGTTAAAATTATTTATATCACTCCACATGTGTTGTCAAGAGATGACTGTCATGGCTTTGAATTATTCTTCTAGAAATAGATAATCTGTCAGTGATTAGTTTCACCATCGCCAGACATACATGTGATACTAAAGACAAAAATAAGAAGATGAAGGAAACACTGCTTTTAGCAGTGATCCTAGACACAAATGATTAATTTGGGGACCACCTTCTCCCCTATTGTTTATCCTGTTATTTCACTGTATTCTAATGGCAATGGCAATTTTTTTCTTCTCTCTTGTGTGTCCATCCCCATAACTCCTAAAACCAAGGTTTTCCAGCTAGAGGTAACCTAGCCATCTCTTACCACAGAGGCTTCTTAGGTGAACACAAGGCCCATTTCCTCTCACCCTACAATTCTAAAAGAAACCAAGACTCTATTCCACGATAAGCTTCTGCTTATAATTACAACTTCATATTTAAAGTCCTTTTCCAAATTCCAATACAAAGAAAGATATCTAATAAAAGAATTATTAGAATTTATTTAATCACATTAATGAGAAAAACAGTGAAGGTAAATGCAAATGAACAAAGAGAGAAATCAAAACGATGTGTGGAGAGCAGTATGCTCTCCGCCAAACCTTCATTTTCATTATTACATTTCTGCTCACATTCCTTAAATATGAAGATATCATACAACTCATAGCACCACAGCCTCTTCAAAAGATCTCTTCATAGACCACAGCTTCAAATTCCCTCTCAAGAGTTTTTGCATGCCCATGAAATTAGTATAAGCCTTTCTCTCATTCTGCATTTTGATTTCTCTCATAATTCACTTTGGTACCTGACAGCAAATGCATCTTGACTTCTTAATTGAAACTTCAATTTATCCTCCTGTCAAGTTTACAAAATACCTATTGCATGTCATGCTCTCATAGAGTATTGTGGGAGTTGCAAAGTAGAAGACATAAACATGGCCTCAATGTATTTACAGTATAAAGGAATGAAAACATGAATACTTATGAAAATATACTGTGCACAGCAGGCTCCAAATCGATGTAGATAATATGTGATGACCAAACTCAGGCAACATTAGGGTGTGTGTAGCAAAGTTTTAGGGAAAAGGCTTTCAGAGAGAAATAATGATAAATTTTTAGATATGAATACTCAATATTATCAATGAAGTCAAATAAACAAATACAATGTGGTATCAATTATGTATAAAGTCCTGCAGAAATCTGCAGATGATAGAGAACTACTAGTCCCTGCTCTCAGTGAGTTTAATAGAAAAGTAAGTCAAATTTGTGAAAAATTAAGTGACAGTCTAAGTCAAGACAGCATTGTAGAATATCATTAGAAAATATATAATGAGTTTGAGTGAACTGTACTACTGCAGAGCCTTTCTCTTCTGGCTGGCCTGGAAAATTTTTGGGAGATGAATGTAATGTAAGTTTCAAGTATGGATCTGACTGACAAAAGCATCATTGTATTTTCAAATAAGCAAACAAACAACACCCTTCAATGGAAAAGCCAGACATTTATAGACGACGAGTTCTGCAATCTAGTTGGCATAGAGGATTTATGTAGGAAAATTGAGTTAGAAAGGTTGTAGCTAGTGTAGCCAGATTGGAGGTCTGTGAACTTATAAGGTTTTAATTGTTTTATTTTTATTTATTTACTTATGTACTCATTTTCTGGTAGTGGGAAATAATGAGGTCATTGTTGGATAGAAGGCAAACATAAAAGGTCATATAACAGAGTGAAGTGGAAAACAACTAGAAGCAGGAGGACGCACTACACAGCTATTAAAATTGTCCACACTTAAGACTATTATGAACTGACATAAATTCATTTACTTGTGATTTACAGTTGCCTTTCATGAGTACTCAGTCATTGTAAGTGCAGATGGTAGTTACTGTTTGCTTACTCTATTTTTTCTTGTAACGACTAGAATCTATACATTTGGTCTTTCACAGACTCAGCTATGTATTTTCTTGAAATATAAACAGAAAAGCCAACTTTAAAATTTGCCATCATTTAAAGAAAAAGAGAGAGAAAGCCTATATGAAAGTCAAAAGTTGAAGTTGATAACTGTGATTTTTGCTTTTATCACTTTTAAGATTAATTCTACGAACATCTCTGCAGTAGAATAAGGTCAAAGATATTTATTTGATGACCCAACAAACTAAAAGTGGGAAAACAGATTGAAAATACTTTCACTGGTTATTTCACTGACTGAGAAAAGAAAAAGTTCTACTGTCAACCAAAAATCAAAGGGCTAGGCAATATTGACGGGATTACCCGTGCCATTCATTCTTCTTAGTTAGGCATCTTAGTCAATAATAAATTGGTTGTTTATGTCCTCGTATTTATAGTAGAAAGCAGATTACCTGAAGCTTACTGGTATTTTGTGGGGGCAAAGTCAATTTCATTAACCAAAAACTCAAAGGCTTTTTAGAAAAACTTTATTTTTCTAAAATTGTTTTAGTTTAGTGTCTGATTGTATGATAATACCACATGTAAAAAATAATTATGATAGGGAAAATTTCTACTACCTTGTATAGCTCACACATCAGTCAGAATAAATCATATTAACGGATAAATGGGGCGTCATATATGATGACCTGTACTTCCAGCACTCAGGAGGCTGAGTCAGGAGGCTCATGAGTACAAGGTCAGCCTGGGCTGTAGAGTGTAGGAAGACTCTATCTCAAGAAAAAAAAAAAAAGGACTTAAACTTAAAATTTATGCTTAGTGTGGTACAAAGTTATTTCTATAAAGACATGTAAAAATAAGTAAGGTTCAGGGGCCCAGGCTCAGTGGTAGAATGTTGGCCTACCGTGTGCAGGTTCCTGGATTTGATCCCCAGAACCACAAATTTTAAAAAGCAAGTCCTATCTTGAACAGTTGCAATTGATTCCGGTATTTTGTTCACCAATAGGTAGAAATTAAAGAAGATATTAAATATAAAAAGCAAAGGCTCAGTGTGTAAACACATCCACTTTCTCTGACTTAGAATTTCTACTTCTCATGTGACAGTCATTCCTGTTATAACATTAAGCACTGGTTGCTAAATAAACATCTTAAAAACTCTAGCGATAGCACCAATTATTTTATATAAATAATAAGAAAAGAGAAAGTTACCTATGAAAATCACCATTAAAATGTGAAAAACATGTGTCCTGTCTCCAAACATTTTTCTGGAAAAAGAGAGAAAGAGATCCAACCAAACACCTACTAGGTTGACAGAGCGAGCTTCTTATGATCTTGCACCATTTCCAGATGTGTGGGCTTTCTTTTCAATAACACTGTCTTCCTCTCAGTTAGCAAATGTGAGGACTCAGTTTTGACTCATTTCTTCTCACACTGATCTGTGGGGCTTAGCGTAAGATTCGTTTGTGCTACTTACTAGGCTGACTTGTATTCTTGGATTCAATCCCTGCTTAACACCTGCTGCCTTCCCTCTTTGTCTCACTGGTGAACGTTAATATGATCACAACACTGAACATCAACACTTTTATTATGGAAAAATAAGTTTCAAGGACCTTCACTGCAGACTGGTAGTTTGGGCAACTTCTATTATGGAACATTAGAATTTTGTTTTGTTTTGTTTTGTTTTTTACAATAATGGAAATGCTGTTTGGGGGAGGGTAGATTTTTTTTTATCAGTTTGCTTTTGAATAGTGGTTAAGAAATTCAGAGCAACTTCAAATTTATTGACCTATACAGGAGAGAAAAGGTAAGAAAAAGTGAGACTGTGGGAAGAATTGGAGTTGGGCCTACATATCCACAGATTCAACTAATCTCAGATAAAAAATATTGTTAAAAATGTGTTTGTATAGAAGATGTGCAGACTTTATTTTGTTATTATACCCTAAAGAATACAGTATAACAGTATTTGCATAGCATTCATGTTGTATTAGGTATTATAAGTGATCTGGTGAATTTGGTAGCCTCAGAGATCCTAAAACTAATCCCCCATGATTACCAAGGGATGATGTACTTAAGTGTTATTCTCAGACTTAAATTCTACCCTCTATGAAAGATAGCTGTGCTCTACTCTTAAATACAGTGCCATTTAATTTTATAAAGTTGGAAATGTGTGGCATTTAAGAAATACTTTGTTGGTGCTTGCCTTTCCCCCACTTTTCTTACATTTCTGAGAGGGAAGACTTGAAGATCTGTGGTGGTTTTGTATTGGCAATGTGAGCTGAGGACTAAGGCCCCCAGAACTACTGTTGTGCTTGACCTTCTTATCATTAGAGCTATTCCTTTAGGTTAAGACTTTGCCACTTAGAAGTATCAGAAAAAATGAAAGTGTTACCTGACAGAGGTGATAAGGCAGACACTGATTCCTTATCATGGACTAGTGTTTGAGCTCAAACCTCCGTCATGTATCTAAGGTCAGGTAAGTTGTCATGAAAATTAGGTGCAGCTCCTCATTTCTTCATTCATTCTTTGAACACCTCTCTACTGAAGTTCTTTTTTGTTTGTTACTTTGTAGGCACAAGAGAGATATGATGGTGAGCAAAAACACACCTATTTCTGATTTACAAAGCACGTAGTTTAGTTAAGGTTACAGTACTGGGAAAAGGTGTGCAGGCACCTATATTAGGAATGTGTTTTCTTTGTGACCAAAAGCATTCCAACTTATGGCCATCAGGATCTAGACAGGCATGGACAATGGAATCTTAAAAGAACTTTGTTAGAGAAAATAAGTAAATTTGTGTATTTCATCCTTAAAGTTTATTAAAACTTAAAGAAACAAATGAAACCTAGCAAGAGTGCATAAAAACTGAACAAGAAGTGAAGATGCCGTGGTTTAAATGTGTACCTAAATGTGTACCCACAAAGTTCATGTGTTGAAAGCTTAACCCCCAA